GCCAAGTCAAAACCACCATTTTACTCCCTGACATCCAAGCATCAGCTGATTACAGAGACTGATGCTTGATGACAGATCATTTACCTCCTAGTGAATTGTCAAAGGATATACTAACCGTCCTCTTCGTCTTATCTTAGGGAAATCTATGAACACTATAACGGGACATTGCAGTTGTGACGTGCACAAGCCTTGGGGTTACGCAGATACAGTCTCGCGTGAAACGGAGACTTTAACGCAAAACCTCAATATTACACGTGGCAAACTACTCAGTAAATAACAGTTTTTTCTTGTTCCGAATGATCATTTATTTCTTATCATTAAACGTAGAACCTTTTGAACACTTTCCACGAAAGAATAAGTTCTAGGAATATTTTCGTTTCTCACATTTTCTCTGACGGCTTTCCAGGGAAAATAGCAAGAGAAACCGTGGTACACTGACGTTCACTTTGTTGGTGTTACAGCGAATAAACACAGGCAAATTATAAATATGTCCGTGATTTCCTCAGGAAAAATCTAGAAGATTAAAACATCTTAGAATAAAAAAAAATTAAAACTATACCATATTTCACACCAGAAACGCACTGAGTTACATGCACTATCCTTAGAAATATTTTTTTCAAAAGCCTTCCCTTTACTGCAGCACACAGAGGAATCAATATTCTCCCCTTCGACGTTGAGCAATTCCAGTAAATTTTTCCTTAGAAAGTGTAATCTTTCTCTGCATGGTAAGAGTTAGTTTTTTCATAAAACAGACAGATTATCAATACTCATAGCCCTTCGATTAGAAACTGAACATGCATGGAACGAAATAGCAATCGGCGCGACAGAAGCTAGGGAGTGAAAAATCAAGAGGCTTGGGACGGGTCGAAAACAAAAGAACGACCCAACTCGACCCAAGCTTCCCTCGCTTTTCCTCTCCGCTGTTAGTATTGCGCTTCGTCTTAACCTAACTGAACGACTGGAACAGGGTACAACACTCACTATTTTCCTGTTTGCAATGCTTGAGAGCCTCACTGAAATCTTTACATAAAGTGATTTCTGCTTGGTTCTGAGCACACTCCACAAACTGCTGTAGTTCGTACCGGCATGGCTCATGATTCTGCTGCTGAAGATCATAGTGTTGTTGCTTTGATTCTGTGCCTCCTCGTGTACCAAGTAGAGCTTCGCTTGCGGCATTACCCTGAAAACAAACGAGTGTCTACGAGAATTTAAAGACCTCTCTACTGTAGCTCTTCGTAACTCTTGTCTTAACCCTAACCCTACAACTAGTTGATAGATCCACATTTTTTATGTTTTTTTTTTATCCAGGTCCGTATTAAAAATTCAAAACAAAGAGGAGTAAGGCAAAGAGAAATTTGAGTTTCCTCTTAATCATGTGATAACTATTTATCGCGATTCAGTGAAAAGAAACGTCATCAACCATTTTTCTAATAGATTGGTAAAGTCAAGAGATTTTATTGCGTTGTTAACTTCTAACTACTTTGCCTTTGCACGGTGTCAACATGGGATCAGTTCTAATCAGTTAGTGTACTTAAGCAGTCGTCCAAAAGCGTAGTGGAAATTAAATGAGAAGCTTCTGTTTGGGGTTTTAGCGAAAGCCGGAGGCAGTCTCAACCCCATCCTGAGGGGCCAAAGGTAGCCTATCTACTGGGATTAGCGAAACGACGCGCCTTACCACAACCGAACCGACTGCTACACCTGCAGCTGTGGAAGCCATTTGCCCAAACAGTCCAAGAGGTTTTGGTTCCGGTTGAGCCAGATTAGGAGATCTTTTTTCAGGCAAGGTAGGGCTCTGCTTTGACGAGCCTTGAGATGATCGTCTTTGAGCACGAGGCATAACTGTTAAGTATCTTCACGAAAATAACATAAAAATTTAGACAGCAAGGTAATAGTCGTCCGCAAGAAAATTTCGAGGCTGCTCCGAGGATCAATTGATGACGTTCTATCGTTAAAGTTCAATTGATGTGATAATCACTTTGACGTCATTAAGATCATTCCATGCGAGAATCGACAGAGTTCTCTTAAGTTATCGACTCTTCATCTTCAGCGAGCTCTTGAATCAGTTCAACTATTTTAAAGTGCTAAAGGAGTATCTGCTCCAAGAGTATTTGTTTGCATGCGATGAGCTGAGGTTATTCAATGCCGTAACGCTTTCGCAATATTTTTTCTTTCAATTGAATAATGAAACTATTATCCAACACATTTTAACGCAAACAAATGCAGACAAGCCTGAAAAGAGCTACTGATAAACAAAGCTAAGAGTAAAAGGCAGACTGCGACGGATCGCCTAGTTTAAAACTTAAGATTTCAGAGAATTTGTATAAAATTGGCTGCAATAGTAGTATTTCAAGACTTCAGTGTGATCAATCGGCTCTTACTCGCTTGTGCGTTGGATTCCACGACACGATCACGTTAACAACATTTATTGCTTATCATACTTTTAAGCTCGCATCCAAACTATTTAACGACTGGCTTCACTGATCTCATGAAGTAGAGGACCACAGCTTCTTTTCCAGGATCGTAAGAATGAAGTTTAACCACGCATATAAAATTAAGACAGGGACGGGCGAGTTATAACAGTATTTCAAGGGCTCGTTTCGTTTCGCGTTTCTTGGGCTCTTGAGTGCGCAGGATGCTTCATATTTTCCCCAATACATCTGGTGCTATCAAACACAAGTCTGTTGGCAAGGACTTAACAATCATACATATAATTTTTCACGGATGTTTTTATGGGCAATCCAAAGCTATACTTGATGGACAAATTATGTGGAAAACCTGACTGGTCCAATGACTTTGGTTTTTTGATTTACTTGCATTGTCACATAGGGGAAGTCACATTTATGTGTACCTACAAATAAATCTTCGACTACCCCTACCTTATCAGAACGGAAATCAGACGATGTACGACTCCTGTTTATTTCAAATTTTGCAATTGGATTTTTATTATTCAATGCAATAACAAGAATTCCTCAGTTCAAGCAAATTGCCAAGTGCAAACACCTTTTTACAAGCATCCAAGCACCTTTTATAGCCAAAAAGAGTATTTGTTGTGTGATTAGGAAAAGCCAGTGATCACAGCAATGTATCTTGCTTGTCTTCACATCTGGGCAGCTGCACAAGCATCCACAGTGATAATTTTTCTCAGGAAAGGCCTAAAAAGCACCAAAAAAATTAACACACCTTTGTCAAGGAAAGTTGGAAGATTTGTGGGTGGATTTACCACTTTCAAACAAAAAAAAACAAACATGTGGGGAAGATATGATATAACAGAGATTTGGTGTTTAAAAAACAGCAAAACCGTCTTGAGCTACCTTAATCACATACACAACAAATAAATACTAACAATGTCATCCCAAGTAAAAAAAAGGAGGTTAAACTGAACGCTCCTCACCATTTCTAAGTTTGCATTCCCTGAGCACATCATTAAATCCCTGGCACAGTGTAATATCTCCCTGATTCTGCGCGCACTCCACAAACTGCTGCAATTCATACTGACAAGGACCCCCCAGACCCTGCTGTTGTGGAGTAGAATAACTCTGGTATGGCACTGCAGCCATGTCTTGTTGATACCCAGCTGGTTGCTCTGATCCACCACCATGACCACCAAACAAGGCACCACCAATAGCATGACCCTAAAGACACAGACAAGGTATGTTTTGTACAATTATCTACTCCAATATAGATCAATGT